TTGCAAGAAGGTGCTGTACCTCCCCTTGTTGCCTTGTCTCAATCTGGCACCCCAAGAGCAAAAGAAAAGGTAGGCTACTAATTACTTTCTTCTTTTCTGCTTTTGGCACTTTCATTTTTTTTTTTTGTCTAAATCAACTATCATTATGCGGAAAAAGAATATCATGATTGATTTCGTTCTTTGATGACATCTCTCAATATGATCTTGACCAATTTAACCCTAACGGAGTCATGTAAAACCATTATGTGCCTGGTTGCTTGAAGTTTAAGTTTCAACTTACACAGCGTAACACTGAGGATTATCAAAAGGGCTGTTATGTTACTGACATATACCATGCAGGCGCAGCAACTTCTCAGTCACTTCCGAAATCAGAGAGGAGCCATGGGAAAGGGCAAATAATTCAGACATTTCATCTACCTTTTTCGTATATTTGGTATTCGTTGTAGTGTAAGTTGTTCTCCTCTAGTATTTTTCGCGGATTTTTTTCTTCTTTTGGTTTCTTGTAGCATATAATTTTTTTTTCCCTTCATACCACGAGAGGAGAGAAACAATTTTAATGTGCTCAGTAGGATTTGATTTCGCGAAAGAACATAGTTTGCCTTAGATTGAGAGTGAATTCACTTTTTTCTTTCGTTGATTTTAACTTAAGCTGCCATTGTTTGTCGCATAGTATTGTATATTTATTGTACATATATAGATTATAGACTGGTGCATTCAAACTCTAAAATTGTATTATGATACATATTTTTCTGTTGTGCAAAATATGTCACCTTGAGGGTTTTCTTCATTCCTCTTCCATATCTCTAAACAAGTGATTCGATGATCGCCTCATTGAGAAATCTGTAATGGACCCTCGGGTTATACCAAATAATTCGAAATGTATAAGTGGAATGTAATTTATCAAGAATCGTAGACGAATCAGTAGTGAATTGCACGGATAGAATCGAATCGTGCAATTCAGTTATTAAACCTGAGTTTGTAGTGCATTGGATCCATCCAGTTCAATCCGATTCAAGTAGAACATGTTACACGAGATTTCGAGTATATCGAACTCAATTACAAAGAAATGGAAGAGAGTGCAAGCAAATTTCTAATGTGTTTGTTTCTGGGTAATTTATTAATTCAAAATTTCAATTCAATGGATTGTGAACGAGAATGAAATATATAACACAAATTTGAATATCTATAAATCAATTCTATATTCAAATTTTCTTCTTCTTAAAAGAAAATTTTTACCCAATTCAAAGGTAATTTTTTTTTTCTGATTCATAATTTTTAAATTTACCATGTTTAATTTGGTAATAATATTATTACAGTTTGAATTTGGGAATTATGTCTTAAAATTATTACTTTTTTAAATATTAAATTATTAATTTAATAAGCCTTGAAATAATTCTATATACTTACCTAAAGTATCTATGTGAGATATAAGGGTACAAACATCATATTTCATGTTTCCTAAAAGAAATGCTGGGCAATATACATATACATATATGTGTATATATATATATGTATGCATACATATACATATATAATTCAAAGTACTTGGATGTTGGCTTTTTTAATTTTCTTCAACCACATTGTAGTTATAATAATAATTAAAAAAAATAAAATAAAATAGTATGTATATAGTACATAGGGTTTTTTAAAAATCGAGGGGCTGTCTTTCTCTATTTTATATTCTATTATTTATTATTATATATTTGGTACTATTTTTTGTATAATTAAAAGCATACATTAAATAAAAACCCATGAATAAAAATAAATATTTTAATTTTAATATGATATGAATTAATAATTTAGATGATTAAAAATGATTCATTTGATTATATACATTAATATTAACCTAACTTGACTTTAAATATATAAAATTAACATCAATTCACTCTAAATTGAAGGCACATGTTGGCCAAATTTATTTTATTTTTAATTAAATTGAATTTCTATTTATTTGAACTATATTCGAATTATATCTCGATATATTACATTAAAAATAAAAATAAATTATATATAATTATATCGGGTCTAGATAAGTTATTTATTTTTAAATTTGATTAAATTCAATTTGAGATATATTAAAAAAATAATTTGATTCAACCTGAATCAATTTATTTTATTTTCAATTAAACCAAATTTATATTGATTCGAACTGAACTCGAATTATATTTATATATATTATATTAAAAGTTTTAGATAGATAATTTATTCTTAAATTTGATCAAATCCGATTTGAAATATGTTAAAAAAATAAACTCGATATATTCACTATGTTATGAAATCTTAGTATATGAAAAAATATACAGAGGGGTATTATAGTAAAAGTGTATGTACGGAGGGGTATTATGGTAATTTGAAGGAGAAATTAGGCAGTGTGTGGTTGAATTATGATTTAGTGGCAGAGGTTGAAGAAATTAACAATCATGGTATTAAACATTTTTGAAGGTTTGAAAAGCTTTTGCTGTCTCCATCTCAACCTATTGCCTGCCCTAATCCTTTACCATTTCCACAAACTCTCTTTCTTTTCTTGTTTAAACGACTGCGTTTTGATCATCATCATCATCATCATCATCCTCCTCACCAAGATCACACAATTAGAGGAAAAAAGCTTAACTTGTTCCCCCTTTTTTAGGAAATTACTTCAATGATTTTGGAAGCATTTTCAGAAAGATCAAAAAAAGGAAGTGATTAGTGATTAGCTTCAATGTGATTTAAAGCTTTTCTAGTATTCCTCAAACAAGAAAAACTCCAAACAGAAAAACAGTAAGTCTCTGATCTTACTCTCCCATCAATCTCATCACTATACATCTCTTTCTTCTTCTCTCTTCTATTATATATCAAACACATGCATACACTTTTATAAAATATATATTTTCATCATTTCCTTGTCTTCCTCCGTTTCTGGCTTTTTATCTTTCTCTCTTTCCTTTCAAACATGGAAATTCTCTGGTAGTAATCACTGGGTATCTCTTCTCTTTCCTTTTCTAGTCTTGTCCTTTCATCAACAGTAACATCTCTGTTTGATTTGCTTCCAGAGAACAAAAAAAAAAAAACGAGAAAAACCAACTAAACCTTTAATTCCAACTCTTTATCTTGCTGTTCACTGGCTTTCTTACTTGGGTCATCCGCAAAAGAGTTTTAAGATTAGAGAAAAAAGCAAACCCTAGAAGTACAATCGCGAGGAAGAAGACGATATAATCATCTATATATATATATGTCACTGAAGAACCCAGCAATGGATTCGATCCCAGAAATGGGCAAAAACCACTCAGAAACCAACACGAGCAGCATCAACTCACTTGCATCTTCATCTTCCCCATCATCTTCAACCTCCAGCCGCTACGAGAACCAGAAGCGCCGAGACTGGAACACTTTTGGTCAGTACCTGAAAAACCACAGACCACCACTCTCTCTTTCCCGATGCAGTGGTGCCCATGTTCTTGAATTCCTTCGTTATCTCGACCAATTCGGAAAAACTAAGGTGCACACTCCAATCTGTCCTTTCTACGGCCATCCGAACCCACCGGCCCCCTGTCCCTGCCCTCTCCGCCAAGCCTGGGGCAGCCTCGACGCACTCATCGGCCGGCTCCGAGCTGCCTTCGAGGAAAACGGAGGGAAACCCGAAGCCAACCCGTTTGGTGCACGAGCTGTGAGGCTTTACCTCCGAGAGGTTCGTGATTTGCAATCAAAAGCAAGAGGGATTAGCTACGAGAAGAAGAAGCGTAAGCGGTCAACCGGCGCCTCTCAACAAATTCAAGCTGCTCTGCACCCACCACCACCACCCAGTTCAGGTTAAGAAAATCTCTCTCTGTAACCAATATATATATATATATATATGTTGTGGTTTTGATGTATCCATCTCTGAGTAGGGTAGGGTTAGTTTACGTTTTGTTTTGTGCTGGTATTGTGTAGTTTTGCTTAGATCTCATCTGATTTGGAAGCAAAGAGTGAAAGTTTTACCATTAGTGGGACTGGTACTGAAGGGGTTGTTTAGAGTGATTGCACTTCCAGTTCTCATCTACGGGAAACTCTCTTTTCTTTTATGTGTACTTTTAATATTCATCTATAAATTTGCAGATCATGTCTCTTCATTCTCTCTTTTTCTCTCTCTCTCTCTCTATATATATATATATATATGCACTTAATATGTATTATATAATTGCTTTTTGATCTTCTTCAGATTCTTTTTAATGGGTGTTGGCAATTCAATTCATACTTGTGAAAGAACTATACATGACAATTAAAGTTGATATATAGTTGTATATATTAAGTTATATGTCAGATATATATATATATATATACTTGGTATATCGTTGCAGGCTGTGTTGCCACTTTCATTGCTTAAATTGTCTTGAACTAGTATGGTACTGGGTGTTTAAGAGTGAAGGGAGAAAGGCAACACCTTGATTTAAGGCTTAATCTTAATTATGCTTTACTTAATTACTAGCTACCTTATTTAATTTTATTTTATAATAAGCTAAATAATTAATAAGTATTCATACAGGCACGTGCATAAGCTCTACTTAATTTAATTGTTTATTTCCATTAGTGGTGTCATTTCATTTGAGGGGAATTAGGGGATACCAAAATCGAAATGGCAGACAATATTGTAGTTAAGTTTCTTTATGGATTAATTAGTTTAACCTAAATCAATCACAATTGAATCCATGTATCTATATATAATATAATATACTTGGAAAAGTTTCTTCTGCCATTTCTCTCTCATTAGTCATATCAGTTTCAGATGCACCAGAGAGAGAGAGAGAGAGAGAGAGAGGAGAGGGCACTGTATATGTATATATATGTAATAGTTAAGTCGTATATTTATATACATGTGTGTATGTATACATGTATAGGCGCATCAAGAAAATTCAAACATCTGGGTCTCCTTAGATTCCCAAATCAAAGTGAAGTTGAGCTACCACTAAATTTTGTTGTAATTAAAATAATTAGATATGGAGACAAGTAGTTTACATCCAAAATTTTGCCATTATTGATGGCAAGATGAGTTTTAGGGTGACAAAAAGGCTCCTAATTATGGAGAGTTCGAGAGAAACTTTTCTTAATTAATCTGGCCGACAGCTGCTCTCTCATTGGTTCATCTTTGCTCATAATCCTCATTGGATTTCCTTACTATTATATCTATATATATACATGTAGCTTAAGACAGCAACTCAAATTAACCAATCTTTTATATTATATATATAAATATATATATCTGTTTTTGTGTGTTTGAGGTGAAAAAGTGGTGATCCATTGTAGGGTATAGATATATACTAGAGAACCTTCTTTCAATCTTTAAGGACTCTATTATTTTTGGGTGTTAAATTTCTTATATACATATATGTATATGTAGATACATATAGCACTTTGACATGTATAAGACACGATCTGTTTCATGTCATTACTCATTCAGGCATATCCATATAGCGATTTTGATACGCCATGGTCAATGAAAATTGTATGTATGTACATCCATGTACATAATGACGATGTATGATTGGTGGCGACGTTTTATGTTTATGTACGTTAGTTAGGGGTTCCTTTCATATTCATCAATGGTGTCTGTTTGACTTTATTAGTTCTTTCTATAAAACATATATATATATATATATGTATGTATAGGTCAGCTCGCCGGTGATGCCTTCCTGCAGGCTTCAACTGATTTAATGTCATCGTCCTACTGTCATTCATAAGATTTTACACACACACCCACACACATATATATAGTTTTTTATACGTTAATACATATGAATTTTACAGGACTTATTATACATTCCATATATGCAGTCGATCTAATGTTTCCACATTAGCAATTCCGCTCAAAGTTATTAGTCATATGTGTTTGTATATATGTAAATGCTTTTGATCATAAAGTTCCTCTCTTCTTCCACAAAAGATTATTTACTTTCATGTATATTTTCATTTAGATATTACTTTTACTATATTATATTTAATATATATATATATACCACTTAATTAATGAATGCATGAATTTGTTCAATCCTTGATTTAATTAACTTGAACTAAGTAGTCTCTACAAAAAATAAGCACCCTCTTCAGCATTAGTAGCTGTATAAAACTATATGTATCTATCTGCATGCATTATATGATAGTGTCATGAATTGCCCTTTGGCCTTGTCTTAGAATATTATGAAATAATCTTATATAAATCATTGTTTATGACTCGATCTATATGTGTGTATCATCACATCCTCCAGTTACCAGCTCAAATATACATACATGTATACCAACGTATGGCTATGATAAATGCAGAGAGCTATGTGCGTTTGCGCGTGTGTGTGCATATATATATATATATATATATATATAGATATATGCACACACCAGAATCTGGATATCATGTTTATGCATGCATTAGTGAAATTATTTTGAGTGATTAGGATGTTTTTGCGGAGTTTAATGATGGGACAATATGGTTGTCATATATTGTTTGAAGCGAAGTCATATATTGCTTACAGGCTCCAGCTTATATCACACACACACACACACACACACACACACATATATATATAGCGTATTGAATAAGAATTTATATTGAAACTATATCATCCACATATATTGATTCATGAGAATGATTATTATCATGATCATCATCATTTCTTTTCGCTAAAAGTCTCCCGACACCAACTTGTATGGATGGGCCTAGCTTACCCTTAAGTTAATTGATGAGTCCACTTGTCTGCCTCTCAAGAATCTCTCCTTAATCACTACATACATAGCATATACATACATACACATATATATATATATATATATGTTTATAGTTAATCCAGTCAACACCCACATGCACATTCTTTTTCCATTTGTTTTTTGTGTAATCATTTCTTTACTTTGTTACACTATCTTAAATTAAACTTCTGAAATTTTACTCACCCAATTATTTGATATACTATATCCACCATGGTTAAATTTACATTAAGCTTAGTTCAAGTTCATTTTTTTTTTTCATTCATTTCTTAAAATTCAATTATTTAGTATACAGAAGTTATAGTTTATATATATATATATATATATATATGTATGTAATCTTATCAACTTTGCTCATGTTATAAATTCAAAACTATAGATTTGTATTACCACCACATGTAAATAAAGGAACAGTAAAAATATGTTACTAATTACAATATTGAATATGTGATTAACTTGAAATTATAATATTATTTTCATTCAAATTTCTGTTCATATTTTTATTCTTATTCATGTTTGAAATCTTAAATGATGTCGTATTCATTCATTAAATGATGTCATGCTCAAAGGAGAGATTAAGAAATGAGGTGGGTTTTGAAAGACTATATTTGTGCTAGTAATGTGCACGCTATTTGTCGTCGGATAAAATATGAGTCATCTGATTATAAATTTTAAGAACTTAATTGACTTGATAAAAGTTAAAATAAGTAATAGTCCGATAGTAATGTCTCCCCTCCAACTATCAACGCTCTCGTTTTGTAATACCAATAGACATTAATTGTCCGGATGATGTTATTAATTTAGTTTATTAAGTAGAACTTCAAACATTCATTAATAACTGATACATAAATATCAATTATTATACAATAAAAAACAATCTCTAAATGATGATATATAAAAATACAATTTGACGCAAACCCATAACTTCTTATAAAGTGAAGAACGTATCAACTATTCAGTTAACTATTGGTTGGTAAATATAATATATTTACGTATATGAAATGCATGTAATTTAGCATAATTAAATTATACGCGATGTCACATTGTTCCATGCCTACATGAAATCATATATATAATCATTTTTTATTATCATTCTAAATTTGTCTCACACAAAATTTCTATTACATTTTTAGATTTGTCTCAGACAAAATCTTAATAAATAAAAAATAGTTATACTTCTATAAAATACATTACTTCAACTAATTTCTCTTAACGACGACTAATTGACCATTAAATTCTTACGAATAAAATTT